ACTAACTGGAAACCATTTAGTTTTTTTTCCCAATATATTGCCTGGCTAAGTGGAATAATAAAAATAAAAACATACGAAATAACGTGCCATAACATAAAATGAAATGCAATCAGAAAAAAAAAGTACATGTTTATCTAGACCAATACTTTATTCTACGAATATCGTATTAGCGACTGTTCATAGTTTCAGTAAGAATGCAGTCATTTGCTTACTAGTATTATGTTTGGAAATCTATTGAGCTGATAACGTTCTATACATAGCAAGTCACTAATATATAGTTTCAATAATTGCCTATGAGATTAGTTGAATTCACATACCTTCTCCAGATTGATCTTGCAATTTGCAGAGTCTATTTTGAACACTTTGGTAAAAGAAATTGAGACTGAAGAGCAGAAAAAAGCCGAGGCCACCAATGGGTCTTCAACACAGCGAGAAAATCCTGCACCCTGCTTCAGCTGGCCCCTTAACAAAAACTTGAACTAGTGTAGTGAAAATGGACGTCATACTAAACTCCAAAACATATAAGTGATCTAAAATTTAAAAAACATACACGACTAACAAAGGCCAGAGGCTCCTGACTTGGGACAGGCGCAAAAAAGCGACGGGATTAAACATGTTTTGTGAGATCTCAACCCTCTTCCTATACCTCTAGCAATTGTTGTTGCTTGATTAATTGTTTTTCCATTCAATTCAATTTCATAGGATACCAATTTTTGTCACACCATCCTATTATATTGGTTTTGGTTGCTCGCCCAACTTTATCAATATAACGGAACTATAAACACCGTTCACACAAACGTATTGTTAAGCTAGCTATAAATAAAGGTTTAACACACCATTTTCTTTGGAAAATGCATGTAGCAAGTCAGGAATGTGACAATTGTTTTTTCTCATCGTTCTATGGTTGATAACATTTGGTTTTGTCATTTGTATGAACATTTTTTTTTTAATTTACCTTTAATTTGGATTTCGGTATTTTTGTTACAAATTTTAACTTTATATTTAAAACATATATTAACAGATGTCTTTTAAAATTTTTCTCAGGCACTTGCTTTGTTTTTTTTTCAATACTAGTATAGTATGAATCTTTCTTTCCCTGTTATGTTTAAGTGTTTTCTTATTCATGAGAAGGGATTCTTATAATGTCACACATTATTCAAGTGATAGAGGCAAATATAAAGAATTTAAAAAGATCTTTACAAACAAATCACCAAAAGAATACTTAACTCGTAATTGCCTTTTTAAAACATATTGATTCTTAATCATTGAATTCCTTTTTTATGATAATTCGAGCATAATTTGTCGAATATAATCTGTAATATATCTCGTTTTCAGTGCATGATGAACCAGAGTTTCCTGGTTATATCTACTTTATAATTGGAGGAGGGTTGGTTCTAATAATAGCTGTTGTAGTGGTGGTGATCTGTTGCAGAAAAAAGAAATTGCTTAAATCACAAACCCACACTTCTGGACAAACATAAGATGTATTTAGCCAGAAGTTGCTCATACAATTTGTGCCTACCCATCAGAAGACAAACTTATGATTTATAAACAATTGATATAATAATATTCTTCTGAACGATATTAGATTTAAAAGGGTAAACTTATACTAGTACTATGTCACATAAACAGATCATACATTGCAGTATGATTCAGTATTGCATAAATTGTATAATATTTCATATATCTTATGAGTACCACGAGCCCATACTTAACCCAGGATCAAGAAAAGTGCCGATGAGGGAGCAACTGTTCACATTTTACAAGAGACATCGGTCAATGTTGTCCTATCAGCATCAGTTGATAAATCTGAACCTGATAAATCACATTATGATGGCTTTGTTCTTTTTTATTTGTAAAGGCAACTTCTCTTATCTTAAGACTTTATCAAATCTAAAAACCGTCGAAAGTAAAATTCAAGACCGAAAAACAAGACGATCATCTCCAAAAATAAAATTAAAACAAATATATACTTCGTATGTAAATATGGTTAGAATGTTGATCTATATACAATAAATGTTCAAGACGATAAGAAAATAAATATACTCTTCTGTTATAAAAGTTAGTTTACAACTGACACTGTCTTTGAATTTCTAAATGCAAGTTAAAACGAGAAAAGAAGGGAACAGTACAAAAACCTCAGCCTAATACGAGAAGACAGCACTATTGTCAATAGCAAACGGAAAACAGTTCAAAACACTTTAGAAAGGTTAGAATGAAATCAAGTGCTCTGGATCATGTGGATGTATCAGCCGTTAATTTTTATAAAATAGCGACACCCCATGTATGACTAAAGATAACAAGCCTATCTCAGTCTATTTATGATATATTTCACTTATGGTGGAACAGATGCGATAAACATAGTCAACACACTTTAAACTTAAACTATTAACAAAGATGACATAATCTATAAACGGGAAGTTTAAAAGTTGTACCTTGGAATTGGACAAGGTCATGTTTTTCTGTTCATGACATCTTTACACTAAATCCTTTGTATATTGGATGTGTACTGATTGATATTTTAGTCTTAGATGCATGATATTTTTTTATTAGCTGTTATTGGCTTTGAACTAGCTGTCAGTAACTGCGAGTACTCTCAGATCAGTACGTAATGTCTTTTTGTTATGGGGATGTATAAGTACCCTGCTACGTCCACTCTGTGTTTTTGTTGGATGTATTTCTGCTTTGTAGCCCTCTGATTAGTAAAGCCCTTTTCAACTGATTTTTATAGTTTGTTCTTATGTTGTACTGTTACACCACTTTACCCGGTTAGGGGAGGGTTTGGCGCCAGGAAACTATTTTAAACCCGCCACATTCTGTATGTGCCTGTCTTAAGTCAGGAGCCTGTAATTCAGTGCTTGTCGTTTTTTGCTGCATATCATATTTGTTTTTCGTATTTTGTACATACATCAGGCTGTTTGTTTTCTCGTTTGAATTGTTTTACATTTGCTATTTCGGGGCCTTTTATAGCTGACTATGCGGTATAGGTTATACTCATTGTTGAAGGCCGTACGGTGACCTATAGTTGGTAATTTCTGTGTCATTTGGTCTCTTGTAGGAAATGTAGGCAATCATACCACATCTTCTTATTTTTATAATCATAGTTTCAGCTGGATACCGATCCAACTATACTCTTACTATCTTACCCAAGGACGATTAGTTGTTTATATTGTATAAATACGCAGCCATGAATGGAATGATAATGACATAGTGAACATGTACCCGTATAACTATAGTTATTAAGGGATGATATACTGTTATAGATGTACATATGTACTTCTGGTTAGTGTAGTTTGTTGAATGTAACATTTGTTTGATTTCGAATGGACAAGTTGAACACACAACTTTGAATAAATTATTTATGAAATGTCTATCATTTGTATGTATTATGTTTTGTACGATATTAGGGTTTTTTGTGTTAAGTTAAGCATTATAATCAACATAGCTGTCATTTAAAAAAAAATCGAAAGTAGTGCTGTAGTTTTGGTGAGGTTAGAATCATTGCGTTCTTAATAATTTCAGAAATTACACAAAATTTGCATCGAATTTTGCTTTTTGTTGATGGTCATGCATTGGTTTGGTGAAATTGATATTTTAAAGTTTTCATAAACAATGCTGACGTGCTTTGATCTGTTGAACTTCTTTTGCATAAATAATGTGATTTGTTTTTGCCTTGTACTTATTTTCAGTCGTATTGTGACTTTTTGTTGTATTTGGTAATACCATACAACTATTTTTATATTAGTGTGTGATAATGGAAGCTACGGTAGTTCGCTGATGTTTAAATATCGTTAGTTCACTTTTGAATGTACAAAGCATGATTAGTATTAAATATGGATGAAAATCTTCACATTTTTATTTATTCGCAAACACGGAAACGATATAAGATGTAGTTCTATAATAAACATATTATAAAATTATATATTATATTTAAAGATACAGTTAGTACATTGAATACATGACGAGTATTAAATATAAATGGCATTTGATTTCAGTTGATATGAAATCGATAGTAGGCGATTAAGACACGACGGTCAGTGTGTAATTCGATCTACATACTTTACGATCAGATCAAACCTATTTAAATGAAAGGAATGCTACCGTCTCCTTTCGGTATCTTGTCTCTACAGTCCTTACATTTATTTCGGTATTTCCAAAAATGAAGTCAACTTCAACTTCTCTTTCTTCCTCAGAGGGTCGTGGAATGCAAACCGTCAATGTTCCAACTTTTCGACAGCCTTCTTCATTTGTATACATTGGTAGGTCCTTTTCAGTAGCAAAGATTTGTATATCAATTTCATTTGATAATGAAGGTATTTTGTATCCTCGCTTTATAGTTTGGCTAATTTTACTGTTTTATTTGCACTGATTAGCAGCGAAAATACACCTCGACAACGAGCTATACCTGATTCATCTATGAATTTTCTGTGTTTGTCATGAACCTGTGGATCGAATGGTATTGTTGCATCAACTCCATATGTGTATCTTGTGACACGCGGATCGATCGATTCTGGTTTATGACCGTACAATACAGCTCCTTTAAGTACGGCCAGATTTGCATCGGGTGCCGTTATAATTCTTTTTGGATGAAAGTTGATTTCTATTTAGTTACGAAGAAGATTATTCTTTGCAAAACCTCCAACTAATATTATTATGGATACTTCATTTGAGGTGTCGAAACGTAATACCTCTTTTATTTTCTCAATAATTGCCGAAATTGTTGGCTTGAATATTTCGATCAACGTATCATGCGGCATTATCAGCTTACCATCTCGAATTTCAAAATCCTTACTCTTAGCTAAATCTGCCGTTGCACTTTCGCTTCCTAGCCATTCTTTTGTAATTTGACAAGGGAATTTTATGGCATCGTCATCTTTATTTTCACAATTAACTCTTCTTTTAAGATCCTCAAAATTTCGATGACGATCTAGATATGTCTTTGGTTTCTCTGATTTAAGTCTTTTCATTAAATTATTCCCAAATATGTCATCCATTTAAAAAAAAAAGCTGCATCGACAGATCTTCCACCACACCCTTCACCGGAAGCTTTGTTGATTTCTTTTATTTTTCCACTGTGTAGCTTTTCATGAACCGTTATACCAGTTGTGCCACCTGGTTTTGAAAGACAAAAATAACTTCAATTTGAAATTAAATTTCCCAAAAGATAAACTCATAAGACTTAGAATGTGTCGTTATTCTGAGTAAGAGTTTGGTTATACTTGTTTTTATTTTGTTTGTTCTATAAGCTCGTCAACGTTTGTATTGTAATATTATGAGTGACCAAAAATTTTGACCTCAAGCATCACTGACGATACATTCATTGTTAAAATTTGCACTGCGTGCAGTATATTTGGCACTGTTAATGTTATCTGTAGATTGCCAAAAACGTTACTTTTTACACTAGACAGCAATAGATTATCAAATCTTTTGGGAACATATTTATACTAAAAAAAACAGAATTATAATCACTAAATTCAAGCGGTTTTTGTTTTAATTTTTACAGAAGTTTATCATAACTTATCGCATATGATTTAAAGGTAGTTCATTTTCAATACGTTATAATACCAGTGTATTTTGTCTATGGTACGTTTAAATGTTATGATTCTAGGCTGAAAACTTAAATATCACGTCTTCGTTTAGCATTTAGGATTTAAACATCAATTGCCTACAAGGAAAAAAAACATTCTCCCAATACTTATTAAATAACTACCGCCAATGTCAGCTACTAGATATTTAGTTCCTGGGGCTGCTATACTATATCCACCAGATTCTGATTCATCAGTCTCAAGCCACTGTACATAGACAGAAGCAACGTCCGGTTCTAGTGCTATAAGTAATCTTTCTGTTGGTATTCCGGCCTGTAAACAATAGTTCAAAAGGAAATTTAAACATTTAAAATTTTTTAAAATATTTATGATTCTCCGAATATAACATCAGTGATTTCATACATTGTATACACTGCATCAAACATAAAGCACAAACTTTTAGTAAATTGTCAGACTCATCCATAGAGAGTAATACAGTATTGTTCAGACAATTTTTCTGCAGTCAATTTAGACTGCGTTCAGTGTATGTTCAGACTGTCCAGTACTTGTTATTAACCTGTACACATCAACAACATACTGAATTATCTGAAATGCAACTGAACAGTACTGAATCCACTGCAAGCGAAATGTCTGAACAATACTGAATTTACCTCAGTATCTAAGTCTGAAATTGTTTTAAAGCTGATAATGACTTAATAATTAATATTCAGTCTTTTCAGATGATGTTAAGATCAAAATGACCGTTTAAGAGTAAAATTCATTTAGTTGTGGAAAACAATAAAATGTTTACCATAAATTTAAAAACGATTTATACGCAAACAATCGGAGAAGACACAAAACCTTTTTATAAGCATGATCAGAGCCAATACAAAATTAAGACCTTTTCTGAATCGCAAGCATGTAACTATCTCTACTAAGCATGCTGTACTTTTTTGTTTTTGTTATTTGTAACTTTTATGAGCGACCGAGTGTTAATGGAAATGAATTCTGCATGACTGTATATTTTGTTAAATACTGGTTTAAAGTTAAAATCTATACCATGGATATTGTTCAAGGAATTTAACATGAACCTTAATTTCTGAATTTCAAATGCAGCTTACAGATATACATAAAACATAAAAAGCCTCCCCCTTTTCCAATTTAGACTTTTGTCGCTAAGTCGTTAAACTAAAACAAACACACCAAACCTGCAAAGTGCAGGTACCAGCGGTATGGCCTCTAACTTGAAAAAGGAAATATAAAAAACGACAACTAATTAGAATAGCAGGATAAAAATGGACTACAAAAGATGTATACGTCGCTTACCATTGTTTGTGTCAATAACACCGAATTACCCATTTGTCACTGGAGACATTTACCACCTAATACCATATATGCAAGGCACGGTATTTATGGGATATAGATACATATAGACCTTCACATTTTGGAATTCCTTATCCTGACAAGGAGAGGCGAACGATAACAAAGGGATCTTCAAAATCTTAATTCGAAATGAAACTGACAACGCCATGCAAAAAAACAAAAAACAATTGACGAACCTGAATAATTTGAGGTGTAGAAACGTTATATGTTATTATGCTTTTGATTCAAATTTCTATATTTAGAATATCATTAATTTGGAGGGAAATATGTACATTTCATATATATTGGCACTCATACCACATCTTCCTATTTCTAAGAAGTATATAAATGAGGATTAAACCAAATAAGAAACTCTTATCTTACCTCCTATACATTTCTAGAAATATGATTGTATAAAGGCAACCGCGTTGAGACCGTATATATTTCATATGGGGTTAGTAGGCGTGGTTTGTTTCAATACACGGTTAGTAGTGTTGTTACGTCCTTTTGTAAAAACAACACGGTGTGGAAGAAAAATCTAAAAGGTTTCAACAGACGAAAAAATTGATGATGAACGATCGAAATAAATTCATAAAACACATTAAAAGCTAACAAGTTGTTATTGTTGGCATTTGTTTTAGTATAGACCAATGAAAGTAGGTTCTTGATATTGAAGATTTGATCACTTTGATATGCCACTAGTCTAAATACTACATGTTAAGATAGTCGGTAAGATAAATTCGTTACACAGTGTGCTAGTGACCTAATACGATATATATACATGTAGGTTCAGTAAATTCCATATGAGGATTCGAGCTTCGCTCTCGCCCCATATGGAATTTACTGACCCCATTTATATCATATTAGGTCACTAGCACATTATGTAACTAATAATACTAGATCTTCTGACGATAAAATATCCTAATAATATATTAAGAGACGATATATCGCCCTAATTTCTATTTAAAGAATTAACATCCTTTTGCTATCCTTTCTTTTCTCCAGGCCTCTTTTCATATAATGTAATTCCGTTTCGTACTTTTTAGATAATGGACAGCAAAATGCAAGGCACGTTTTGTAAAAGCTTGAATGTAGAAAAACACTAAAACCTCATAAATATTTAACGGCAATGAAACGAGAAAACATGTATAACCTTAGATTTTAGTACGTGACTTGTTTTTTTTTTAATGAAAACAATTTATGGATGCTCACACAAAATCCGACGAGATTAATTAAATAAGGAATAATGTTATGATAAGATATTAAGTTATTCATACATTCGACAACATTGGTTCTAAAACGAGTGTTCTGTAAGTCAGAACATTATTTTGTTATCTGAGTTGATTCCTTCTGAAAGTGAAAAAAAAACAAAAAAACACTGTACTTTGAATAATGCTTGACACACTAAGTTCTTCCAAAATGTAAATAAGAAGTAAACTTAATTGCATTTATACAAGTAACATTTGTAAAACTTCCTGTTTTCTATATATAAAGAAGTGACAAATGAAAAGTAGGCTAAACCTGCATTAAAGCAAAATCAGAAACAAAAGAATAAAAAACACAGAATTATATTAAGTTTTAATCAATTCCTAAATCGATCACATTTTTGTTTTGAAACAATATCTTCAACTTGATCACAAACTAATTATAAATACCGCAAATAACTCCGCGAAAACCTCGTTTATTCAATAAACCTTATCTTGTGACGACATCATATTTTGTTATTACGATATACCTATGCCATCAAAACAACAATTGCTCAATAGTAAAAAAAATATTTCAAATAAAAATATAAAAGTAAAATCATCCATGATTTTGAGTAATTATTATATAAATAAACTGATCATTGATACAAGTCGGTTCATATCACATGGTTTAATTCAAAAGTATTAGAGTGCAGCCAGTTTTACTTTTGAGCATACATATGGTTGTCTCTGGGCCAAACTCTTTGTAAGGTTTTGAATGAGAGGCGAAAGATACCAAAAGCGACATTCAAACTCATAAGTCGAAATTAAACTGACAACGCCATAGCTAAAAAAGAAGACAAAAAAAAAAATACAAACAATAGTTCACAAAACACAACAACGAAAACTAAAAACTGAGCAAAACCAACCCCATCAAAGATTTTAAAATTCCGTATGCAGGCTTTGCGCGTTTCGATGTTGCAACTTAACGGTAGTATCAAAGAAATCCTGTCTGACTCAAAAATCCCTTAAGAAAAGGCGAATGTGTATTGTCAAAGCTTACAATTTATCGACAATTTGTACTTTTTTTCTTTGATCTTACTGTCTAACATTTGTAGGATTATAAACAGGACTTGATACTCTAAAATATTAGACAATGACGTCACGTAATAATGCAGCAACGTCGCGTATTCATGTCCATTCGCGTCATTTTATCAATGAAATGCACGCGACCTCATTCATACAACCGTTTTGAACGCGTAAAAATAGTTTTATTGACTAATCAGTTTTATTTCATATGCTCAACCAAAAAAAAAACAACATATTGTTAGCTATAGAGATAAGGACAAATAGCCGATATATAGAAAAATGACATTTTAGTTGTTGATACTGACTTCGTCAGCTCGAATATCAGTTCGCCCTTGCAGGCTCGCTTGATAATCTTGTTGATAAAGTCAGTATCAAAAGCAAAAATGCCATTATTCTATATATACAAAGCATTACTTTCAGAGTCATATATGAAATATAACAAACTGTAAGCGATTTATGGAAACCAAGCGTTGTCAGTTGGAAAACTGATGACCAAAAATCAAAGAAAAAAGTTGCCTTTCTATTTATAAGACAACAGCTTATATTGTTTACGCCGGTAATACTACTGGTAAATGGTTCCTAAGGTTTCAACTCCCTGAGGCAAAGTTTACCTTATACAGAATTTCAATTGTTTATAGGTCGTTTTTGTCATATAGCTCTTCATCTATTTCGGTTCTTACACATCCTTGGCTTTCAAATATTCGGCTTGTTTGGAACGTTCGTAGTAAAGCATGTAAAGGTTAATCAAGAAAAGCGTTTCAGACTCATGACATTAATAAAGTGTTGCTTTCGTTATAAAAAAAAATATTTTCTTAACCAAAATCGTACATTATAAGAACATTTTCTGTTTAACTGTGTTATTTGAAATATACATGCAAAAACATAATTATAGATGATAGTTAAGGCAATGTGTATAAAGACAACTGTTCATCCATTACATTTAATATACAACTAACGTATTTCCGCCCACGGCGACGTCACTGACAATACGACGTCGACAATGGACAAGTACAATAGAACGGACGTTATGTTCCCGCGACAATCTCAACATACTGGGGCCGCGAAAAGTAAAAATTGTCACAATTTTCTAAATAATCACCATTGTCCATTGATCAATCGTTTCACTGATAAATTACTGTCCATCAATAAATAATAATACTTTGAAAATGTCTCTCGCGCTGTATATTTTTTTTTGAAATAATGAGCATATGAAATCATTCAAAGTGGAAATTACATTTAGCAATTGAATTCAATTAATGTCACTCATGAAATAAAAATAAAATTGAACTTTTCACTAAACGCGTAATTGTCTCTCAATTACATCACTAATGGTCGTCTTTAACATCATTGGTGTATCCACTTCCGTATGGTCTCAGGGGCTTTCAGACTTCTTTTTCATCTCGGTCTGTTCTCCATATGTTCCTGCAGATCATCTATTGGATCGTAAGAATTGTTTGTCATCGTTTGTGTAACTTCCAATCGATATAATTTTGCGATCGGTCTAGTAGTTTCTCCAGTGCTGGTCCTTTTTCGTGCGGATCTTACAAGTCCGTCGTTACCTCTCACCAGTTCGGTTACGATCCCAATCTTCCAGTTAATTCGCGGAGATTCGTCAATTTGTACGATGTCTCCTGTATTTGTTAATTGTTCATTTCTACCGGTTGTCCTATGAAATTTACGTAACGACGTAAGATA